TTGAACCACCAGCCTTCTGGTTAGCAGTCAAGTGCCTTAGGCACTATGCTACCAGAGCTCCCACTAGGAGGGACTAGTCCCTGGAAAAGGATATCATGACTGGTAGAGGATCAGCATAACAGGGGAAGACACTCAATGAGATGGACTGAACCAGTGGCTCCAACAAGGATTGTGAGAATGACACAGGACCCAGAGTGTTTTTGTTCTGTTGTACATAGGGTCACTATGAATAAAAACTAACTCAATGACACTTAAAACAGTAACAAGTCTATTTCCCTATCTTTCAGTCCTATAGAGGAGCTACATCCTTTTCTACTTAGTCATGATATACTAGTTAATTTAATTGGAAGAGACTTATTAGCTAAATAGAATAAAAAGGAAGAATATTACTAGAACTTCCTAATAGTCACCACAAAATTTAGGGAACTTCAGTGGTGGAGGTTTTTTGTTACTTACAAGCACTTTCTTTGTCCCATATAAGAAGGAAGCTTCTCTGCTCTTTTCACTCCTTTAACAATTTCTCTCCTCAGTACCAAAAACCCTGTGGGCCACAACTTTCACAAATGTTGGCTAGGTGCCGTCAGGAGACCTCAATGTAATATAAGTCACTGCCTCCAAACCTTTACCTAAAATCCCCCAATACACTTTAAAACAAGAAGCAAACAAAGACTTGCTCCAATAATTCCAGATTTTCTTCCTAAAGGTTTAATTATTCTCTGCTCTAATCCCTGTAACACTCCTGCCTTCCATTAAGAAGCCATATAATCACACATGGAGGTTTGTACAAGATCTATGTGCTATTAACTGCATTGTGGTTCCTACGTTTCCCATGGTTCCTAATCCACATTTGCTACTTTCTAATATACCTCCTCCTAAAGCCTACACCTTTACACTGGTTGATCTTTGCAGTCTTTCAGTATTCCCAAACATCTTGATAACCAATATTTGTTTGCTTTTACTTGGGGGGTAGGGAGAGGTAAACAGAGAGTGTGTGCAGGGTGGGGTGGGGTGGAGGGACAACAGAGACAGATAAACAGATCAGATCAACAATATACTCCAACCGCAATACCTACAGGTTTCACTGAGTCCACCAATTCTTTTTCTCAGCTTTTACATGCCATCCTACCCTTATGAGTTGCCCAAGAATCCACTTTATTAAAATATGTTGATATTTACTGGTTTGCTCTAAATATCAACAACTTTGTCTCTCCTTTGTTAGAACATGTGGCTGATGGTGGCCACAATGCCTCTAAAAAGAAGCTGCAACTTGCTTGACTATCAGTTAAATATTTAGGATATGTAATCTTAACAAAAGGGATCACCACTGACCCCAAAGGAAACTATTCTAGTTTGCCCTATC